GATGCCGATGGGTGGCCACGGGAGGCCACGGGAGGCCACGGGAAGCAACGGGCGGGAGGCAGTGGGAGGCCACCAGGGGGCAACGGGAGGTCGCGGGAGGCCGCGGGAGTCCACGGGAGGCAACGGGAGACAACGGGATGTCACGGGAGAGGCAATGAGAGACAGCGTCGTCCAGTCGATGCCAGATCCGGCAGCGCATTCTCTTAGTTTCTCTGGGAATTCCTACAGAGCCCTCACAGACAGTCTGTTTACGAAACAAGCCTCGAAGAAGAACAAAACGCCATTAACATAACCTTTTGGCGCTCCGCGCGGATTTCTTGGATCCGCACTGGCCCCCCCGGCGGCGCCTCCTGCGCCGCCCCTGGCGCGCTCCGCGCGCCAGGGAGGGGGCTCCAGCGCAGATCCAAGAAATCCGCGCGGAGTGCCAAGAGCTAATGTTTATGGCGTTTTTTCTTCTTCTCAAACCGCCCCTCCTCATCTTGCTCCTTCTCCCCCTCCGACGGCGACGCCGAAGCTGAGGCCTACGACGGCGACGGCGGCGCCAACGCCGACGCTTACGACGCCGGCGGCAGCAACGACGGCGACGGCGGCGGCGGGGCGAACCGAAGCGAGGCGTGACCTCGATCGCGCATTCGCCGCTGTGCGTGAAGCGCTCCAGGGCGACCAGCGGCGCCAGGTGGTGGCCTGGGCGCTCCTTTCGCAGGGCTCGTTTCGATTCCTCCGATTCGATTCGATTCGATTTCGATGGATTCCGATTCCGATTCGATTCCATTTGGGATTCGGATTTCGGTTCCGATTTCTTATCGGACGCACACTAGCCTGCCGATTTCCGCCGATTCGACTTTTTCCGACTCGGCTGCCGATTTCCGCCGATCCGATTCATGTCGACTTCCGATCCGGCTTGTCGATTCGATTTTTGGCTCTCCTGCCTTTCGTCGTCGCCGTCGTCGAGATCGACGAGATCGACGTCGTCGAGGTTCGTGGTGGTCGTCGTCGTTGAGGTCATCAGCGTCATGATCGTCGTTGTCGTCGGTATCGTCCCAATCCCATCACCACCGTCGTCAGCGTCATCACCGCAATCATCGCCGTCGTCGTTGGCGTCGCGGTCGTCATCATTGCCACCGTCATTTCGCGACCAGCAGGACGAATTTGTCTGCGAAATTGAGTTCCACCCGCTCGTGCGCTCGTTGATAGCATGGCCAGCTGAGATGTGCCAATCCATTGCGAGTGGCAGGGTGGGATGTTTGCACGAGCAATGGAGTTGACGATGTCGCGTTCTTCGGTTTACACTGCATATCTTTGTCCTCCGCAGCGCACACCACATGGTTGGCGTTCATGCTGGGTAGCATGATTTACAAACATGGTTTTTCCGTTGCTCCTTACCGCGCAGGATTTGGCCTGGGCATTGTCCTATGTGTTCCGCATGTTTTATGGGTCCAGCGTCTACTCTGCCTGTGGAATAAAACCATTCGACCATACGCCCCCTCCGGCCCTTGAATTTTCTTGTAAGTCATTCCCTACCTAGGCTATGCCTAGAAGGGTTCTTACTGTGTTCTCTCAAAGGGCCGGGCAGTGGGGCTCGCCCCGGGCGGTTCCCCCAGGATCCGCCCCGCGGTTTCCCCGGCAACCGGGGTTCCCTACCTAGGCTCTGCCTAGAGGGTTAGCTTGGCTTAGCTGAGTTTAGTTTAGCTTAGCTTATCTTATCTCATCTTAGCTTAGCCTAGCCTAGCTTAGCTTAACTTAACTTATCTTACCTGACCTTACCTGACCTTAACCCACCTTAACTTAAATTAGCTTAGCTAAGCTTATATTAGCTTAGCTTTGCTTATCTCATATTAGCTTAGCTTAACGTAGCTTAGCTTCGCCTAGCCTAGCCTAGCTTAGCCTAGCTTAGCTTAGCTTAGCCTAGCTTAGCTTAGCTTAGCTTATGCCATCTTAACTTAGCTTAGCTTAGTGTAGCTTACATTTGCTTAGCTTAGCTTAGCTTAGCTTATCTCATCGTAGCTTAGCTTAGCTTAGTTTAGCTTAGCTTAGCTTAGCTTAGCCCAGCTTAGCTTAACTCAGCTTTGCTTAGCTTAGCTTAGCTTAGCTTAGCTTAGCTTAGCTTATCTCATCTTAGCTTAGCTTAGCTTAGCTATCTTAGCTTAGCTTAGTTTAGCTGATGCTGCTTTCCTAGGGGCTCCAACTCCTAGGTAGGGTCGCACTGGGAGAATAGAATGCGGCGGACCCGAGTTTAGCTATGCGGCGAATCCCTATGGAAAAAAACAAGCGGACCACATGCGCGCGCTCACGCGCGCGCAAGACAGCATTATTCACACACCACCGGTGTTCTTTCAATTTCAAGATCAGGCTCGTCAAAACCAAATGAAACAAGTATGTGTCTTCATTGATATCAGAAGTGCGGGCATCATCTCAGCAGACGCGCCAATGCTCATAAATGCAATTTCTAATCTGCGCGCATGGGCTCATAAGCTTGCACGGCCTTCTGAGGGAATGCAGTGAACACGTTGGAGAGTCCTCCACAACTGGACAAGAAGTGCATGTTACAGTTTTCTGGGCATGATGGGACTGTTTCTGACGCGACGGGGATAGAAGTAGAATCCGTTTATGATTAGGTTGGGAGATCGCGTTCCGCCGTTGTTGTGGACTACGCTGCATTACATTAGGATTCTCACTATGTATGCGAGTTGCATTCTCACATGGGCCGTTCTGGCCTGAACCGCCCCTGGTATTTTCTCATGTGCTTCCACGCGGTACACGCACAGCAGTTACAATTCAATCAACGAAGTAACGCCATTTGGTGATCCGCCCCATACGCCCAGGGGATGTTCCCTTGCACGTAACATTCCAAGCCTCTTGAGTGTATTGTCGGACTGCCTTGTTTTCAATTGCTCCCCCCCCCTTCCCTCTTCTTGTCTCTCCTCCGCGTCTTCCCTGCCAGTCGTGCGAGTCGTTTCGGATTACGCTAGTTGTAGCGGCTTGGGCAGCACTTGGATGCAGCCGTGCTTTCCTGCGGGGCAGGAGGCACAGCGCGTCGCAATACCTCTCCGTGCTTCATTTGGCTTGCGGTTTCCTTGTCTCCCGTCCGCTTCTTGCTGCGCGCTGCTTGCCGTGGTCTCCCTCCTTCCTGCTCTGCTGTCTCCTCGCCCGCTCTCCTGCTTCTCAGTCGAACTCTCGGGCCAGCCTTCTGCCTCCTTGCCGCCTGTTCCCTCTCCTCGCCGTCGCGCCCACGCGTGGCCTCTCCGTTTTGCTCGCCTGGCTGCCCGGGCCGGCTACAACCCCCTGGATTAAAAAGTGGAGACCGCAGGGGCCGAGGTAGACGTGGTTTGCCTCCCGTTAGGCAGCGGGGCCCCGGGACAATGTTGGATTTGTTGCCAATTCCGGAGTTTCCGGTGCCTCCATCATCCCTTTTAATATTATAAAGGCCAAATGGGGCTCCAACCGGAAAGTGGGATTCTGCCTAGGACTTCCTCAAAAAAAATTTCCGGTCGCCTTCCAGGGCGACCGGAAATTCTGCCATGCCACCGGAAAGTGGCGATTCCGCGTGGGACTTCCTCAAAAAAATATTCCGGTCCCTTTTGAGGCCGCCAGACAGTGGCGATTTCGCGTGGGACTTCCTCACACATTACTTTTTGTCGCATCTCATGCCGCCAGAAAGCGACGATTTCGCTTGAGACTTCCTGACATTCGAGTTTCTGGTCTCATGTACGCTCACACCGACGCCGCGGACCTATTCCTCTTCCCACTCTTCTCCTCTTATCATCACAGTATTGGATTGTTCCGTGTCGCATGCTCTCCGTGCAAGTCAGATTCCAGTTGCCACAGCCTCGCGCGCGCGGTCCTATCTGCGCCTGGGCGGATGTCCGCAGGGATGGCCGTTGCATCGTTCGGTTCACAGGTTTGTCTTGGAGTCATCTTGAGGCCATCTTGAGGTCGCGTCGGGTCGCAGGCCCCCCTGTGGGAGGTTCGATCCCAGGGTCATTTTGGGGCGACGCGGTTGACCCAGGATGTGCGGTCCAGAATCGACGATCCAGGATCGATGATCGAGGATACACGATCGATGACCCAGGACCGACTGTGGAAGAGCGAACCCATATCGATCGGAAACGAGGCTTTGGGTTCCACGGCCGATCAAAGTTCGACAACCACCTAGCGATTGAGGGTCGGAGATCGAGGGTCGAGGATCCAGGGCCGTTCGGACATCGAGGAGCCAGGATCGAGCGGCCACGATCCGTCGAAGTTCGACGCTGGATGGCCGATCGAAGAGCGACGATCGAGAACCGATGTTCCAGGCTTGATCGAAACTCCAGGCTCCAGAATGCCTGGCCGATCGAACATCCATGATCGAGGTTCGATCGAGGCTCGAGGATCGAGGATCGAGGGCCCCAGATACTTCGAGGGTCGAGGATAGAGGTCCGGTCGAACAGCGACCATCGACTTCCCAGGATCCAGTCCCGATCGAAAGTCGCGGCTCGAAAGCCGAACGACGGACGAATACCAGGATGCGGTTCTTTCGGTGTAGCTCCGATCTCAACTTTTTAATCCAGGGGGTGGTAGTGTGCACCACAACGTTTGGGGGGGGTGGGGAAGTTTGGACGTAGCATGATCAGGGGGACGTGCTTTGCTCTGTGTCTCGAACTCGCATTACATGTAAGCATACGGGCCGCATGCGCTCACTCGCGCGCGCACACGAGACACATTCATATTAAGTCATCAGTTTGCTAAACAGTTCGAGGTCGAGCTGCTGAACAACTATGAAAAAAAAACAAGTTCAGATACGCAGTAATGAGCCATACGGAAGATGTCCTGCGCGCGAGCCAATGTCCATCAATGCCATTTTCAAGATGCGAATGAAAAATCATAAACGTGAGCGGTCTGAGGGGATGGAACAATCGAGGTGAGGGTACTCTCAACAATCGGACAAGACGTGCATGCGACAGCTTTTTGGACACGGTGGGACTGCTCGGAAGCGATGGAGTTAGAAGGAGTAGCGGTTTTTGATCGGGTGTGACAGGTGGTTTGATCGCGCTCTATCATTGCAGTGGGCTGTGCTCACGTGCTTCTATATTCCAGTATATCGTGTTCCAGTATACAGTTAAATATTTATACTTGTGTTTGGCATGTTTTCTGGGAGCGATCCACGCCCAGCCCTGTTCCATTTGATGCCGTACGACTCATGCGCCCTGCGCCCATTCTTCTTCTTCTGAAATAGTACAGCTCCGACCCAGGACCGATCCACGGAACGATATTGTGATGTGGTGGGTCCGTTTTGAACGATGTCGTGAGTCTTTGTGGCACAGTACCCTGCGGGCCAGTATTCTTCTGAAGTCATACCGCTCCGACCCAGGAGCGATCCATGGAACCATGCTGTGATGTGGTGGGCCCGCCTTGAACGATGCTTTGAGCCCCTGTGACCTGTGACGCAGCACCCTGAAGGCCTCACGCGCGCACTCGCGCTCGCGCGGGCACGACACCTGCTTTCAACAACAATTTCCCTGAGCAGTGTTTGCACGTAAGGCTCACCTCGCTGCCCTGGCTGGCCGCCCCAGCCCGCTCACCGCGGAAGTCATCCGCTTCTGAGCGCCTCCCTCCTCCCCCCCCGCGCGGCCGTTCCCCCTGCCCCCTCTCATCTCTTGCACGCTGGACACTTTGCCTATAGGTGCCCCCGGTTAGCCCGACGCTGGTGCGGGTCGCCTCTGCCTCGCCGCCATGTTTGCACTTAAGGGTTCTTGCCTCGGTTCCCTAAACAGAATTGGCTGGGTCAGCCGAGGTTTCGCGTGGTGTTCGCCCGTGGGCGCCTCGTTGGCGTCTCGTGCGCCAGGCGCGTCGGCCGAGGGTTGCACCACATTCTGCTTGCGCCGCATAGATTTCGCCGCGTAGCTTACACCACCTTGCATGCAGCGCATAGCTTGCGCTGCACAGCTTGCACCTACACGACGTAGCTTGCACCACATAGCTTGCACCACATAATTTACGTCACGTCATGTACTGTACCACACAGCTTGCACCACTTAGCTTGCACTGCATAGCATAAACATCCACAGTGCAATGATTTGTTGTTTGGGGTTCACGCTGGCAGATATGTTTCTAGCATTTCAAGATCGATGTCTTCACTGTCAGCTGGAAAGCAGCAGCTGTGCCCAAACCAATCAAACATACAAAACCATCGGGTGCGCGCCAACGCGCGCAGAAGTTCATCAACTTGCGCACGCTTTTCCAGCCGACAAGTTGACGTTTTTTTTCAACAAGCGGACATGAGTTTGTGTTCTGGTTTCTTGGTCAATCTGGGACTGTTAGGAAGCGATCGGTTAACGAATGGGTGTGTATGATTGCGATTACATTGTACCATATCTAGCCTGGATGAGAACTCCTGTCTCCTATAAGCCGTTCTGGTCTGAACTGCCCCCTGAATTTTCTTGGACGTCTCATACGCTTTGAGCACTCAGCTTCCATCCGATGTATGAGCTAATGCCATTCGGTTCGCAACCCGCTTTGGCCACGGCACGCTCCGTTGAAAATGTCATCATGCGGTGGACATGTGTTGATCCATGTTGCGAATACCTGGTGAAACCTGCGAGGCGGGCCACATGCGCGCGCAAAGAACAATCTGTCCACAGCCATGCGCTCCTCAGCAATGTCAGGGCCGAGCTCTCCAACGGCACACGGAGAGCACGCTCCGCATGCAGTGCTGGCATTGCGGGTTCTTGCTCGGTGCTCTAAGTAATTGGATGGACTTGCCGAGGTTTCGCCGCGTGGCCGCCCACAGGTGCCAGGAGGAGGAGGAGGAGGAGGAGGAGGAGGAGGAGGAGGAGGAGGGGGGGAAAAAGGAGGAGGAGGGAGGAGGAGGAGGAGGAGGAGGAGGGAGGAGGAGGAGAGGAGGAGGTCCTGCACCTAAGGCCGCCCGCGGGCGCCTCGATGGGGCTCCCCGTGGCGCTGCCCGGCTCTGCCGGAGGTCTGGCCTCGCTGCGGCCCGGGGGCGCCCCACGGGTCCGGGTCGAACCGAACGTGGGCGCCGCGCTCCGAGCATTTTCTTTGGGTGGAGGGCAGAGGGTGAAACCTGAAATGCCGTTTCGATTGGTTTTCGATGCTTGGATCTGCAGAAGGCGAGTCACAAGACGGATCGATTTTTTCGAGGTGCAGGAGCCCACATGGATTTCACCCTGAGCCCTCTGCCCTGAGAAGATGCTCAGGCGCTGGCCGCACGGTTTGCCTCACGGAGCCCGCACCACACAGCCTGCACCACACACACATCCGTGAGGGCTTCGCCCCCCTGCCGCCGGCCCCCTCGCTATATCTCTGAGATGGGGCCCGAGGAGATGGTCGGGGGCGGAAAAGAGGGGGGTGATGACTAGGGGGGGGTGGATATCATGGCGCGGGCCATGATATTTCCCCAGATTTCGTGGCGCCTCTTCTTGTTTTATTACGTCCCTGGCCCCCCCGCTGGGCCGCGCACATGCCGCCGGTCATGATTTGCACCCCCCCCTCTTGGACACCCCCCTCTTTGCCGCTCCCGAGATGGGGTCGGAGGATCGCGTCGCATCGCCGATGCGGCTCGATTCGGAGCCCGGTATGCTACACGAAGGCGTCGCCGATGCACCGCCGACGTCGACGATGCATCGCTGGTGCATCGCCGATGCATCGCTGGTGCATCGCTGGTGCATCGCTGGTGCATCGCCGATACATCGGGCCATCTTTGAGCCCTCTTGTGCCGTCTTGGAGCCCTCTTGGAGGCGTCTTGGGCGGTCTTGGGAGCTTCTTGAGCCGTCTTGGAGCGTCGGAAAGCCGAAAACGTGAGAAGGCCAAAATCCTTCAAAAACCTTTGAAACATCTACGATGTTAGCCTCTTGGGGCTCTCTCGGGAGGCCTCTTGGAGCGTTCTTGGGGACTCTTTGGGCCTGCTTGGGCCTTCTTGGAACCAACTTCGGGCGTCTTGGAGCTTTCTTGGCCTCGGCAGTGCGAACACGGCGTAATTTGCAAAGGTTTCTGGCTTCGGGGGACGCGACGGGGACCGCGAGCATACCGTAATTTACGATGGATTGTGGCCTCGGGGTCGCGAATCTCATGTATTTTTACATGTCCCACGCCCCCCCGGGAATTCAGAGAACGCGATCCGGGCGTGGTAACGGGCTGGTTTGGGGCTCCCCCCCTCGCGCGCACTTCAACAATTTACATTAGGAAGCAGAAAGCAGGATAGTAACATTGGAGACTTGAAACTGCAACTGGTGCAGGGAGCAGCACACTTCGGCCTACAGCCTGGTAGCCCATCAAGGGGGCCAGCGGATTGCACCACATAGCTCGCAACACAATCAGCCCAGAGCAGAAAGAGAGAGAGAGAGAGAGCGACACACCTTCATACAGACATACATATATAGAGAGAGAGACAGAGAGAGAGAGAGAGAGAAACACAAAAAAGAAAAGGAGAGAGAGACAGAGGGAGAAAGAGAGAGAGAGAGAGAGACAGAGACGTAGTGAGAGAGAGAGAGAGAGACAGACAGACAGACAGATAAAGGGGGAGAAGAGAGAGGGAGAGAGAGAGAGAGAGGGAGAGAGAACAAAAAAAACTGAGAGACGGCGTCTCCAGCGGCATCGAGCAGGTTTCTGTCTGTTCCCTCGTTTCTTTTTTCCCCTACCTAGGCTCTGCCTAGAAGGGTTCTTACTGTCTTAGCTTAAAGGAGCCGGGCAGTGTTGCCCGCCCCAGGCGGTTCACCCATGATTCGCCCCGTGGTTCCCCCAGTTGCGTCCCCTTAGCTTAGCGTTGCTTATCTCATCTTAGCTTAGCCCAGCTTAGCTTAGCTTAGCTTAGTTTAGCCTAGCCTAGCCTAGCCTAGCTTATCCTAGCCTAGCCTAGCCTAGCCTAGCTTAGTTTAGCTTAGCTTAGCTTGGCTTGGCTTAGCTTAGCTTAGCTTAGCTTAACCTAGCTTAGCTTGGCTTAGCTTAGTTTAGCATAGCTTAACTTACCTTAGCTTAGCTTAGCGCAGCGCAGCACATCGCAGCGCGGCATTAGCACAGCATAGCATAGCATAGCCAAAGCAAGCGTGTGTGTGTGTGTCTGTGCGCAGGCAAAGAAACAACAACATCAAGCAACAACAAAAACAACAGCAAAGCAAACGCAATAGCAAAAGCAAAAGCGAAAGCAAAGGCAAGACAATGCAAAGCAACAACAAAAACAATGCGAAAGTGTAGATGTAACTGTAGGTGTAGGTGTAGATGTGGATGTAGGTGTAGATGTAGATGTAGATGTAGGTGTAGATGTAGGTGTAGATGTAGATGTAGATGTGAGTCTCGCTGTTGATGTAGATGTAGATGTAGATGTAGATGCAGGTGTAGATGTTAATGTAGCTGTCGGTGTAGATGTAGATGTTGCTTTCCTAGATGCTGCAACTCCTAGGTAGGGTCGCACTGTGATATTTTTTTGTTTTTCATATATGTTTTAGGATGTCTGTCGAAAGTCTTGGTCCATCTGGGCTTGTCAGGTAGCCAGCCTCGTCGTTCAAGGGGGCGCTTCTTGTAGTGAAAAGGCTTGCAGCATCGTTGATGCATCCTGGGTCTACTCTGGTCCTCCTGCTGCTTCCTCCCTCCTCCCCCTCCACCAAGCGTGGGAGTGAGGAAGAGGATGAGGACAAAGAGGAGAAGGAGGAGTGGAGGAGGAGTGGAGGAGGAAGAGGTGGACTCCCTCGTGGGCGCCTGCCTCGTGGGGGCCTGCCTGCACAACCGCAACCCCGACCGCGCCCTGGAGGCGCTCTCCGAGATCAAGGTGCTGGATCAGTCGTCCTCGCCGCCGCCGTCGTCGCACTTGTCAGCGATCGAGGTTCGAGGGCCCAACATCCATGAAGGCATCCGTCTGTTTTTGAGCCTCTGCGGGCGTCCTGGGCCTCGAAGGTTTGGTCAGAAAGCGCCCCAGGAAAGGTCCAGAGGACGCTGTTCAACAGCGTCCTCCAGACCTTTCCTGATGATGACGACAACGATCTTCAACAGTGTTGAAGATCATTGTCGTCTTGAAGCGGCTAAGCGTGACGAGCGAATCGATGATTACGAGTTCTTTCTCGTGCTCCTCCTCCTCCTCCTCCTCCTCCTCCTCATCATCATCATCATCATCATCATCATTACCGCTATCACCATCACCACCATCATCATCATCATCATCATCATCATCATCATCATCATCATCATCATCATCGTCATCATCGCCACCGTCATCGTCATCGTTATCGTCATCATCATCATCATCATCATCATCATCATCGTCATCATCATCATCACCATCACCATCACCGTCACCGTCACCATCATCACAATCATCATCAGCAGCAGCATCAGCATGAACATCATCGTCAACCACTTCATCATCACCATCATCATCATCACCGGCTCCATCACCATCATTATCCTCATCATCATGATCAACACCACCATCACCATCATCATCATCGTCCTTAGCATCCGCATCATCATCATCATCATCATCATCATCATCATCATCATCATCATCGTCATCATCATCATCATCATCATCATCATCATCATCATCATCGTCATCGTCATCATCATCATCGTCCGCATGCGTTGTACATGTTTTGATTGCGCGCGCATGTAATCTATAGCTAGCATGTTCTGTGCGTGTCGCCTTATGCACGGCATTTAGCAGTGCCGGCTGTAAAATGTATGCTGTAACGGTGGTCAGGAGGCCACCCTCGCAGACGGTCACGACGAGTTTTTTGTTTTGCTCGCTTAGTTGTATTGCGTGACTCGGCCAAGAGTCTATAAAGGCCGCTCCGATACAATCGTCCTCACAGTCTTTCTCCCCGGGGGAGGGGGAGGGCGAAGGAGGTGAACACGTGAGATAGGGACCGAGGGGTGGAGGGGAGAGGAGGCTGAGGCCGTGATAGGGGAGGGGGACGGACAGGAGGAGGTTAGTGTAGCGAGGGAGGAGGAGGAAAGAGGCGGGCGGGGGGGGAGTATGCGGATGGGCGGCAGAGGGGGAGTGGGGGCATAGGGGCGGATCGGGGGGTGAGGTCGGAGGGGGAGGGGAACGGGGAGCCCGATTTTCTCCGCGCTGGCGTCGCCGAAGCTCCGCCGACGTCGGCGGAGCATGTCTTCCTGCACACTGCTGCATTGTCCTCCTCCTCTGTCCCTCCGCACCCGTTCCCCTGCTTCCCCCTCTCCTCCCCAGATTCGTGTTCTTCCCAGAGCATCGTGCATAGTGCCACATTGTTGCCCAGATTACTTTGCCGTTTCAGGTGTATGGGCTGCACGGCGGCGTAGCTGCGTGGTAGTGGTGCGGAAGTTATATCACCCCGACTCGTGGTGTTGCTCATGCGTGTTGTGTTTCCTGCGTGGCGCATTGAGAGTTTTTTGTTATTCGAATACTGTTGTAGGATGGTGTTGAATGGGTGGGCACATTGCACGTTTCTCGGTTGATCCTGAGCGGTAGCGTGTTGGGGGCCTCGTGTGCTCAGACGTTTATTTTGCGATGGCAATGTCGCGGGTCTCCATCCAGAGCCCGTCCGTCGCCGTGAACGTGGTGGTCAGGGGTGGCGGTTGCTTTTTCTGGTAAGCTTAAAGACCGCTACGTGGGATACGCCGTAACACGTACACCCCGTTTCCATGTCGTTCTCATGTTCTTCCTCCTTTTCCCACCGCCCTCCTCCACAGGGCGATGGGTAACGAAGGCGGAGGAGGCGGATGATGGGGAGTGATAGTAGTGAGGATGAGGAAGAGGAAGGAGGGAGGAAGACAAAGATGTATGAGGATGAGGATGAGACGGAGGAGGAGGAGGAAGAGGAGGAAGAGATGGATGATGAGGAGGAAGCGGGGGAGGAGTACCCTTTCGCCGTCGCCGTTGTCTCGTGTACACTCAGGCGCAGCCCCGATTGGAGGGCCCCTGCGCCAGCACCTACAGCTCGCTCGTGTGCGGGCTGGTTCGCTGTGGCCGCCTGCACAAGGCCGCCGCCACCGCCACCGCCGCCATTACCGCTGGTTCCATCGTTGGCGTCGTCATCGTCGTCGTCGTCGCCTCTGTCGTCGTCGTCGTCGTCGTCGTCGTCGCTTTGAGTCGTTCTTTTCGTCTCGGTCGTCGTCATTGTCTTGGTCGTCTCCGCCATCCCCCCTCCTACTATTATTCATGTTCCTGACTCCTTTTCTTCATCCGTCCTCCTTCAGTCCTCCTCATTCCCTTTCTTTCTTATAAGAACGCATCCCCATCTTACCACCAGGCGCGTCGGTAGTGCCAGGCATTTCACTAGTTCCTCACCGCTTCTGCCTTTGAAGCATGAACCTTTGAACGTCTACACCGGTAGACAGCGGGCTGTTTTCAACAGGTGGTTATCGCAGTAGCGCCGCGCACAGTTCTTCAACACCTTACAGCATGGACGCGGATGTAATGCGGCTGTTTTTGGGGAACATACGGTTTTCGCTGCGTCCAGAATAATCATCTGTAACATGTTCAATACTTACAAAGATGGGCGGTGGGGCTATCGCTCTCGCGCCGCACACATTCGTAGTAAGCGCTCCCAGCTGTTACAGGGATGACAGGTGGCCCTTTCTTCAAAAATGCGGTTTTCGGCTGCGATTTCTTCACATTGTATTGCCATGCGCGCGACATTGGCGCAACATTTACAACGAGTGAGGGTTGCTCCTTTTCAACACGGGACTTTCGCTTGGAACGAGTTGACCACACGTGCAAGCTCGTGCAACCAGTCTACGGCGGATGGAGGGCGGCTCTTCTTCAGCACGGGGCGTTTGCATAGCCCGTACGACGCTTCTATTATTTTCATGATGCTACCTTATCGCATCCCCTGCAGCTAGAACTTTACAGGGCAGCTCCGCTTCAAAACAGGGCTCTTGTCTGCATGGAGTGTTTCTGGGCGCTGCCTTTGAGAAGTGTGTGTTCCCGCAGCGAGATTGGAACGCATGTAGAGAGAGACTCATGTGGATGGGACTTGGGACGGGATGGTGCATTGCAGTATCGTTGGTGCACACCGGGTCTGCTCTACTCTAGTCATCCTCCTCGTCCTCATCATCATCCTAATCATCTTCATCCTCATCCTCATCCTCATCCTCATCTTTTCCCTCCTCCCTGCGTGTGCGGAAATGCGCGCTCGGCGGGAGCACGGGGAGAAGGAGGAGGAGGAGGAGGAGGAGGAGGAGGAGGAGGAGGAGGAGAAGAAGGAGGAGGAGGAGGATAGGAGGAGGAGGGGGATGGGAAGGAGAGAGGATGGAGCAAGAGGACGGAGGAGGGGGATGACACACCCTTATCGAACGACGTCGGGAGGGGCAGTAGGAGGTGGGAGGAACACTAGGAGGGAAGAGCAGGAGGAAGAAGAAGGGATGGAGGGAGGGAGGATAAAGATCAGGAGGAGGTGGAGAAGGAGGAGGACCACAGTAAACTAAAGATGCGTCAGCGATTCTGCAACACAGCCTCCCTTCCCAAGTTCCCTCCCCACACGCCTCTGCAAGTCTTCTTTGTTACTACAAGGGGCGCTCCTATTGACAGAGCGTCGCAGTTGGGCCTGCCACTGTGACTAGAGCCCCGCTTTGAAAGGGAGTTTCCTTGCCCACTTCTGCGCGTAATTCAGAAAGCAAAAAAATGTTGCCGTACAGTTCAACGAAGCGTCCAGCCGGATCCCCGTTTCGAAGAAGGACCATCCCAAACATTGTAGTTCTCGCGCAAGTTGACGTTTGTGTCCATGAGCTCTGGGGAACTCTCAGGCGGTACCCCCGCTTGGGGGAGAAGGAGCAGGAGGAGGAGGAGGACGACGGCGGCGGCGGCGATGATGACGACGGCGGGATTCTCTCGAGCCCGACCCTCCCTCGGACTTGGGGGTCGCGACCGAGGCGGTGGAGATCGCGGAGGAGGCCAGCCTCGGCGGCCAGAGCTCGGCGAAGGCGGGGCCGCGGGGCCGCACCATGGAGGAAGCTGTTTCGAGGTTCTCGATGTCTGTCATTCGACTCTGGCGGGCATGCGTCGGCGGCGAGCGGAGGAGGAGCAGGAGGAGGAGGAGGGGGAGGAGCATGAGGGGGAGGAGGAGGAGGAGGATGAGGGGAGGAGGAGGAGGAGGAGGGAGGAGGAGGAGGAGGAGGAGGAGGAGGAGGACCGGCGGCGAGCAAGGGGGAAAGTGAGAAGGAGAAGGTTTTCTTAAAAGGCGGCGAGGCTTCTCAGAAGCCCTCGCACCCTTTGAGAAGCCCCCTGTGCCTTCCAAGGAAAGGCTTAGATCCTGTTCAGAAGGCCGCGAGACTTCGGAGCCTTCTGAGCACAACTTCTCCTTCTCGCTTCCCCCCCTCGCCGCCGCCGCTCCTCCTCCTCCCTCCTCCTCCCCCTCCTCGTCCTCCCCTCCTCCTCCTCCTCCTCCTCCTCCTCCTCCTCCCTCCTCCTCCTCCTCCTCCTCCTCCTCCCCCCCTCCCCTCCTCCCTCTCCCCCTCCCCCTCCCCTCCCCTCCTCCTCCTGCTCCTCCTCCTCCCTCCTCCTCCTCCTCCTCCTCCCCTCCTCCTCCTCCTCCTCCTCCCCCTCCTCCTCCTCCTCCTCCTCCTCCTCCCTCCTCCTCCTCCTCCTCCTCCGCCTCCCCCCCTCCTCCTCCTCCTCCTCCTCCTCCTCCTCCTCCTCCTCCTCCTCCGCCTCCTCCTCCTCCATCATCATCATCATCATCATCATCATCATCATCATCATCATCATCATCATCATCATCATCATCATCATCATCATCATCATCATCATCCCCCCCCCCTTCCCCTCCCCGTCCCCCTCCTCTTCTCCTCCTCCTCCTCCTCCTCCTCTTTCTCCTCCTCCTCCTCCTCCTCCCCCTCCTCCTCCCCCTCCTGCTTCTCCTCCTCCTCCTCCTCCTTCTCCTCCTGGACTCAGCCTGAACGCGAACAAGGTTGTCCGCGCCACCTGCCACTTACGCCACCGCATGGCCACAGCCAGAGGCGGGTGGCGCCACCCGAACAGTGCCCAGAAATGAAAGGCGAGGCCAGCACACAGCAGGCTAGCGGATATGAAAGCCGTGCGGGACATGGCGCGGCACGGCACTAGAGCGGTTGCACCACTCCTGCACGGATCAAGGAAGCAGTGCGCAGCGGATCCTCGAGGTACCGCCACACACGATTGACCTGGAAGCATGCAGGCGCACGCGTGAGGCCCGAGAGAACACGAGCGCCCCACGTGCCTGGAGCAGGGGGGCCTCGACAGCCCTGTGACAAGTTCGCAGAGATCTTGACCCCTCCCAGCCCGCACACAACGCACACAGTACACCACAACCTCCGCCCCCCGTCCCCAATGACGGCGAATGGGTGCATGACATGCGGTCTCTCATCCGCAAGCTGCACCCGTACAGAGGCAAGGTCTGCTCTCGACAGACTGCGCGGCGTGACTGGCGGCGGGGGCTCCACCACCATCCTCGGCACAGGGCGGTCCACTTCGCCAGGGCCACGAGCCTTGCGCTGCCGCCGAGAGACATGCTCACAATCAACATCGCACATGCGAGGCCCGACACGCGCAACCCAAGACGCCCATTGAGAGAGCACGATGGCCTTGGCTTTGCGAACCTTGCGGAGCTCAGGGTCAATGCGGGCTCTCGAGGCCATCCCATTGAGCCCATTCGTCAGCATGCACGTCGCCCTCCTTTTCAAAGCGCGTAGAGAGTCCAGACTGGATGCGAGCCTCGGTGCAGTGACCTTTGACTTTGCGCAGGCCGATGCACTCGATGCCGCCCTAGTCGTCGATGCGGCGCCAAACCTGGACCCACAGCTCGGACCAGGCTGCGCGCGACGAGCAACAGTACACCTTGCCACGCTGGTAAACTCCATCGTGGACGAAAGCTGAGTCGGTGTAAAAAATACTGCCAGGAGCACTATGCTGCAGAGCACGGTTGAGGGCAAGCAGCTCGGCACAGTCAATATCTTGGCACACAGATTGGAGGGAACCGCTCATCACCGAGTTAACCTTATACGGATGCTGCGGTTGCACACTGACATTGGCCCAGCCTACGGCCTGAGACGCTGGCGGCAGATGCTGGTCCATCCAGCTGGCGTCAAGAAAGATGTGCCCTGCCATCTCGGTAGGTCCTCCACCGAACCACCGATCGGGGAGGGGGCTCGCAGGAGAAAGGGGAGCCTCGGGGACGAGGAGCCTCTCGGCGAAGAGGAGAGGAAGAGGGTCAACGCTCGCCCTGGCAACCGAGGTCAAGAAATCAGGTGGGACCTCCTGTGCCGCGATGTCATCGTGGCCCGCGCAGCTCGCGTGACTATGCAAGAGCGTGCCAGGGGCCTGCTGACACAAGCGGCAAAGGGGGTCGGCGGTGTACTGCGCAAGCCACTGACGATGCTGGGGCCACTGTCCCCCAGCGACAACACTCCTCAGGTAGGCCTTCTCATCGTGTCTGAGGCCATTAGAGGCTAAGGGGGACTGCAGAGGCTGAAAATTGCACCCAAGAGAGAGCTCATAAACACCTTCTCTCGAGGCCACTTTTTCCCAGAGCCACTGCAGCACGACATGATAGAGCCACTTGCGGACGGTGCGAGGTCCTGACTGCAATTTAGAAACCTCGCCGTGCCGAGGATGCGACCACACAAAACCTTGCATGCTGATGCCGAGCCGCTAAGCTGTAGCAGCACACGCAGAAAAAGGGCCACGGATGCTGGCCCAAGGATTGCCGTGATCAGTGAACCTCGCAACGGCATCTCGCAACCCTTGCTCCAGCATCGCTCGTGGGTGCCATAGCTCCCACACCGCGGTGGCATACTGCAACAGAGGGGCACACTGCAGCTCGTATGCAGGGTCAATCTGACGACGTTCACCGAGCATGAGCAGCAGCGTCACACTCTTGCCATCGAGACTGTTCGCCTGCACTCGAGCCTGCAGCGTGCGCGCTTGTCTGAGATCTGTGCCAGTGGTGCCAAGCACCTTGCACCCGTAGGTGCGCGAGGACAGATCAGCATTGCGGATCATCGCGCGCAGCTGCCGCTTGCGAACAAAGGGAGACAGAGCCAGCAACTTGCGCGCTCGGGTGACGGCAGGATTTTTTCTACTAGCACGGACAAACTGCCTGTGGACCTTACCAGCGGCAAAATCGATCCCAAGATCCCTCTCAGCGCGAACCCCTTTGAGCCTGACAGAGCGAAGTCGGGCCTCAAGGAGCCCGCGGAGCCTGGCGCTGGAAGCAACAACCCGACTCTTTTTTAAAGCAATGGGCAAGCTAACCTTCCCCAACTGCGAATGCAACAATCGAGTGGCGCCAGCAAGCTCTGAAGCAACATCCTCCTCTCTACCGAGCCGTTGCAGGCCAACATCGTCCACCACGTTGCCGAGATGCATGCGCGGGAACGCTGCTTGTACGGCGTCTAGAGGCGACAGCAACACCAGCTGCAACATCAGAGTGGCAAAGTGACACCCTGGCAGCACAGCTCGCAGAGTGTAGATGGGCGTGGACGTCGCCCCGCCAAGAGCAAGCACGCGAGGGCAGCGACAAAGCCCGACCAGCAGCTTGAGCTGACGCACTGGGAAGCCCGTACGCAACGCTGCCTGCAACAAAACATCACGCCTGATATGATATAATGCTTTGGCAAGGTCAAGAAGCACAAGGGCGCTAGAGAAACCACGTGCTCTGCCCCACTCAGCAGCTGAGGCTTGCAACCAAACCAGTTTGTCCGAGGAGCGTCCAGCCGTGGACCACCAGAAGGGACGGTCATTCTGCTGCTGCCAAGCTGCAACTAAAGGCTTGCGAAGCCTCCCCTGCACACGAGCCAAGATGCGAATGAGCGCGATGGGTCGGAAACCCCCATCACGCTTAGAAAGAAACACAACCTTAGTCCATCTTGAGGGCCAAGTGCAGGAGGCATCTACTTCTACCGGGATATCGAGGAAAGCTTCCAACGCTTCATCGGACAAGGCCAAAAGCTGGCGCGGACAGAATTGGTCAAAACCACATCCTGACCGTCGCGGAAAGGAGCGCACGCACTCCTTCAGTTGCTCAAGCGAAGGTCGCACAAAGAGAGGGCCAAGATCCGTCGGCCATTCGATCTGATCGCTAATGCCCCCTACCTTCCACCATCCCGCCCACTCCACCTCGAGAGCCTCCACCTCCTCCTGAAGCGTGCATGGCTTGCCAGCAGTTAAAGAGCTGGTGTGCCAAGGAACAGCGGGCTTGGAGAAGGCATACAGAGCGGCTGCACCGTCAATCGAGTGCCTACGTACCCAATCACGCCAGCCTGCCTGCTTGCCTCGCTCGGCCTGTTAAAAAACAGCAACAGCTCGCGCACCAATGACCTTCGCCGCTGCTGAAGCCAGCACATACGGCAGCAAGAAGGACAACTGGAGCAGCAGTAACCAGGGCTCGGCTTCCTCGATCGGAACACCACTAGCTCTGTGCCGAGCCTGGACACTGCGACCTAGCTTGAGGGTGCTAGCGCGTAAATTGGGTGGCTGCCAGCGCGCCAGGCCTTCGAAACAGCGAGCCAAGAGCCGCCACCAGAGGGCAGCTGGGCTAAGCGCAGGGAAGGCAAGCGGGTGAGGAAGCAACGGCTTGCGCGTGACAAGTTGTAGAGGGAATGCTCTGCCATAGTACTCGGGATTTCAGCAGGCGTGAGGTCGTGCACATCGGCGAGATCGAACCCAGCGTTGGCTACCCACAACTGCCACTTCTCCGCGAGCGGGGGACCTGTCATCTGCTCACAACAGTGCTGCCATCGCGGTTGAGGATCAGTCCTCTTGCACGCCATTGGGGCCTCTAGGGGAAAACGCCTAGGCACTCGTGCTGCGCGGAACTCGAGCCCACACTGCGGGAGAGCCGAGAGCTGCAATAGCACTGGACAGCGTGGTGAAGTGCCTGCATCGGGCACGATGGAGACACAAGCTCGATGCGATAGCGACTGCGAGACGACAAAATAGTCGATGACACGACCTGCGGAGGCAGCGGCATTAGTGCAAGTGGCAACTGATGGAAACAAGCAAACTCCGTCTAACGCTTCCACCCAAAGATTGCCCTGGAGCTCCTCTGGAGGCATCTGGAAATCTCCACAGATGACAAACGGCAAACCTACAGCTGTCACAACCTGCCCCACGTCAGTGAGGATGGCCCAATTCTTCTTAGACAAACCTTCGGAGTGACGAAGGTACATATATATATTGACCCACAGAAAGCCCAACGGCGTGAGACCATGACTATGCAGAATGCGAACACGGCCCTCATGCATGACACTCGGCACGCACTCTACCTCAGACAAGCCAGCGGCCGCGGGCACACACTGCAGCAATCCACCTGGTGCGCCACCCTGCGAGGTGGCGGCAGCCGCTGTGAAGGCCGCGCGCCATCCCATGACTCGAAGTTTGTGCTCCCAAATGTCGCACTTGTCTCTCAACATGTGATGCTCCTGCACGGCAACTGCAGCAGCTCCTCGAATCCGCTCATGCCGTAGCGCGGTTTCCAAGCCACTACGACCAGACACATTCACGGTGACCAGGGTGACGCTAAAGATCCGATTCAGCAACCCCGTCCACGCGAGCCTTCTTCTTGGCGGCCTCCACGAGCTGGTCGAAGATCCCCTGGGCGAGCTCGTGCTTGACCCCCTGCTGCTCCGCCTCGGACTGGATTTGCTGGCCAGCACGCTGCTGCTCCAGCCAGGCGAGCAGCTCGGTGTGGGAGGCCTGGGCGCGCTGCCGCACTGCAGCTGCATCGCTGGCAGCGCGTGCGGCGCGCTGCGCCTCGGCCTCGGCCTGCGCCATGCCCGCGACTTCCCGAACAGCCGCCCCCACTGGGGTGGCTGGGGCGCGCGCGGCAGCTCCCTCGGGCGGCTGGGCTGCAGCTGCCGCGGGAGCGCCATCGGCGGCAGGAGCGGCGCCAGCAGCACCAGCAGCAGGACCACCTGTAGCCCCAGGAGCAGGAGTGACGCCCTGCATGGCCACGTCGGGTTCGGCGAGCTGCCGCAACGCGGGGGCGAGCGCCTGCAACTGCTGGGCGAACTCCGTGAGCCTGGGGTCCGCCTTGAGCCCGTCGGCCAGAGCAGCGAGCGCCTGTGCGGGGTCCACCGCCTGCGCCATGCTCTGGTAGGCCTGGGCAGCACGCGCGGCAGCCTCCGCACAGCGCGCCTTGGCCTCGTCGAGCTCCCTCTTGGCCGTCGCCGCCGCCGTGACAGCCTTGAGGGCTGCCTCCTGAGCGCGGTCGTAGGCCCGCTGCGCCTTGTCGCGCTTGTCGGCCAGGACGTCCTGCTCGATGCGTGCCGGGCGCGCCTCTGCCCGCGGCTCGCCAGCCCGCAGCGCGCGGTGGGAGACCACCTTCGCCACCAGCTTGGGCGTCCAGTCCGCGGAGGCGGCCTCGAAGTCAGCGGCCTCGAGCTTGGCATAGATGTCGATAGCCGAGGGCTCAAGGTACGAGAGCTTGCCGCCGCCCTGCCCTGGCCCACCACCACCGTTGCCACGCTTGCCGCCGCCGCCGCCGCTGCCTTGGCCGCCTTGGCCGCCGACCTGGGGCGGCCCCTGCAGCCGGGCGCCCAGGGTGCGCGTGCCATCCGAGGGGGCAGGCGCACTGGGCGCAGGGCGGCCGCACGCGCGGCAGCGCGTGCGCGTGAGGAAATTGAAGCGGTACCCACACCGCTTGTGCTGACACTGCCAGGTATCGAACGTGGCGCCGCCATGCCTCTGAGGGGCCATCCGACCCTGGGAGAAAACGTGGCGCAAAGAATCGCCGAAAACCTCGTCCGACCAGGCAACGAGGCGTGACTTTGGGGGCCGTCACTCCCCCGCGCCAGTGAGGTCAGGTCCTGAGCCAAAACACTCCGGACTTGAGCCAACCTCCCCATCCCCCTCCTCCTCCTCCTCCTCCTCTTCTTCCTCCTCCTCCTCCTCCTCCTCCTCCTCCTCCTCCTCCTCTTCCTCCTCCTCCTCCTCGATGCCCAAGGCCCCTGATCAAAAGCCTATCGTCGGCCCAAAGATGGCCAAGCTCATGGCCGATAGTGCCCATGAGATGCAGCCTGTAGAAGCTGGGAGTAGATTCCACTGCCTTAAGTGTCTGTCGGTGGTCTCGATTAATTTACACGAGGCAAAGCCCTCCCAAGTGTTTATTGAAACCCTTTGTGTGCCTGCCGAGCCTTGGACGCGCCCCGTCCACGGCGTGAAATCCTTGCGCTGTGCTTTCGTCGGGGCCTCCTTTGTGCACTCGACCCATCAGATGGTAGTCACGCAGAGAGGGACTTTCCTGTGTCTGAACTGTGGGTCCCACGCGACCCGCAGCAGTCAAAACCTGTTGAAGGAGTGCCAGCCGCGCACTCCTGCGGGCCAGAACTTGTTGGATAAAGAATTCATGAAAGGCCTAGTTTGAGGCCCACTTTCAAACCCTCCCACAACGGGAGGCCACTGCTTTTTGAAACAGACCAATGGTCATCTGAGCGTCCTCCTCCTCCCCCTCCCCCTCCCCCTCCTCCCCCTCCCCCTCCTCCTCCGCCTCCTGCTCCTCCTCCCCCTCTTCCTTCCTCCTCCTCCTCCTCCTCCCCCTCCTCCTCCTCCTCCTCCTCCTCCTCCTCCTCCCTCCTCCTCCTCCTCCCCCCCCCCTCCCCTCCTCCTCCTCCTCCGCCTCCTCCTCCTCCTCCTCCTCCTCCTCCTCTCCTCCTCCTCCTCTTCCTTCTCCTCCCCCTCCCCCCCCCCTCCCCCTCCCTCCTCCTCCTCCTCCTCCTCCTCCTCCTCCTCTCCTCCTCCTCCTCTTCCCTTCCTCTCCTCCTCCTCCTCCTCCTCCTCCTCCTCCTCCTCCTCCTCCCCCTCCTCCTCCTCCTCCTCCTCCTCCTCCTCCTCGTCCTCCTCCTCGTCCTCCTCCTCCTCCTCGTTCTCCTCCTCCTCCTCCTCCTCCTCGTCCTCGTCCTCCTCCTCTTCCTTCAGTAACAGATGTGTTTCTTCAATTTGAGTGCCCCTCCTGGGTCTCGGACCCTGTCTCTTGTATTCTGGAACGTCTTCCTCCTCAAACTGCGTAGCTACAACAACAACGGCTCCCGCCTGATATTTCCTCGCAGTGGATTGAAGAATCGCGCTCTCGCGCGGGACTTCCTCACAATATGTGTGTGTGTGTGTGTACGAATCGCGCTCTCGCGTGGGACTTCCTCGCAATGTATTCAGTCGATGCCCCCTCGGCGCTCAGGAATTACGCTCTCGCTTTGGGCGTTCTCACGATTCATTTGTGATTCGCGATGTCGCTCGATACTTCCTCGCGATTCATGCAGGACCCGCGCTTCAGCAACCTGCATGCTCGACCTGATCGTCTGGGCCCGTCTTCCCGACCTGCCCGAAATGTGCCTGCACCCCCGATCTGCCCGTCTGGTTCTACCATTTGTTTGCTGCTCATTGCCTCCCTCCTGCTAATTGCTCTCGTGCTCCATTCTTCTCCCTCTCCTTTCAGCCCGTCCTCTCTTCCCGTGTTTTGAGGGCTGCGCTACATGCATGACCCCCCAAAGGGGTACGATCGAAGACGAAAAGGGCGGGCAGCGAGGGCTTTGGAAATACACGTTGACGGACACTCGAGCAGATAAGAGCGAACAGTCTTATATGATTGTTGTTGTTGCTGCTGCTGTTGTTGTTGGGCCTGTTTGGGCGCAACCCCGAAACGGGTGAGCCTCAATGTCGTAGGACATGCAGCCGGCGCCGAGGCGAGAGCGCCAAAGCGCAAATAGGGGGTCCAACCATAATCCATGTTTTGTAAACAATAGATATTCAACGACGACGACGATGACGACGACGGCGGCGACGACGACGACGATGACGACGAAGACAACGACGACGACGACGACGGCGACAACGACGACGACGACGGCGACGACGGCGACGACGACGACGACGACTGCCTGCGAGTGCCAGGCGGCGGGGCTGACCCCCGAGGCCCTCCAGCAGCTGCTCCGGGCACTGCAGCAGCAGGGCCTGGCGGGCGACACGGCGGCGGGCAAAATTGGAGCCGGCCGGGGCCTCCTCCTGTTCTTCCTCTATCTCCTCCTCCTCCTCCTCCTCCTCCTCCTCCCCGCCCTCCTCCTCATCTCTCCTCCTTCCCCTTCCCCTCCCCTCCTCCTCCTCCTTCTCCTCCTCCTCCTCCTCTTTCTCCTCTTCTCCTCCTCATCCTCCTGCTGCTCCCTCCTCCTCCTCCTCCTCCTCCTCCTCCTCCTCCTCCCCGTCCTCCTCCTCTCTCTCCCTCCCTCCCCAACCCTTGCTCGCCGCCGGTCCCCTCCCTCCTCCTCCTCCTCCTCATTCTCCTCCTCTCCTCCTCCTCCTCGTCCTCCTCCTCGTCCTCCTCCTCGCCTCCTCCTCCCTCCTCCTCCTCCTCCTCCTCCTCCTCCTCCTCCTCCTCCTCCTCCTCCTCCTCCTCAGGCGTTGTGCCTGCGCTTGCGGCAGATTCTCTTCACAACGGCATACAGCTGCTGCGAGCCAGATTGGCTCGTGTGATTCCTTTCAGTTTCAGTTCGCGGGATCTCAGCCCGCACTATTTCACGTTTCTCTCTTCGGCCAGGCCATGGCGAGGAAGGGCGGAGGCGGCAAAGGAGTGGTCTCGTGGGCGCCGTGGCACCGCAGCTGGTCGCAGCTTCCTCCACCTGATGGAGGAGGGGCGGGCAAGGGTGCTGTCCGCCCGCCGAGGCGCCGCGACCCCAAGGTCTGGCCCCCGCTCGTCCCTGGCCTTAAAGATCACGGTGGTGATGGTGGAGGCGATGCTCTTCATGCAGCTCCTTCTCGTCGGAAGTGTATGTTGTGCGGATGTCGCCGCAACGAGCACCGCTTCTACTTCTGCAAGTACTGTGGTGGCCTCAAGTCGGAGTCTACCTACCTCAGCGGTGCATGGGCTTCGGGGAAGTCGCCCCTCGAGCTATTCAAGGGCCCACAGCCCGGTGGTGGCAAAGGTGCCAGCGGCAAGGGCTCGGCTGGAGGTGGAGGCTCGAACGCCACGGCATCGGCACCATCTTCGAAGCTATCCGTGGAGGAAAATTTGCAGATAGCCGCTTTGTGCGAGAAGGCAGGCGACCTCCAAGGTGCTCGAGGCTACAGGACGTCGGCGCAGGCGCTTCAGGCTCCAGAGCAGCACCAGGTCCCCCTGCAGTCGAAGCTCAACCGCGCCCACCAGCATGCTCGAGCAGCGGAAAAGAAACTCAACAACGCCATGGACCGTTTCGAGCAGCTGGAGCAGCAGCTGGCAGCCCAGAAGTCCCACGTGCTTCAGCTCAGAGCGGATTTGGAAGCCGCGGAGGCGGAGCACAGCGGCCTTGTGCGACAGTTGCACAATCAGCTACCATATGGTCAACCGCAACCTGCAGCTGGCAACTCAGGCAACAAGCTCAGCCTCGAGGACTTGCTGGACGAGCAGCGTTCCTCGGCGGCGTTCGACCTCGACGTGGGCGATTGCTTCAAGATTGCTGAGGACGAAGAATCACTCTCACCAGAAAAACAACAGCAGTTGTCTTCGCGTGTGGAATTCCTCAAGTCTGGCATCACGGACATGGCAAAAATTGTTCGCAGAGGCGAAAGCCAAAGTCGCTGAGCTCACAGATGAACACAATCAGTTGGCAGCGAGGTTGGCAGCCGAGAAGCGTCGCACAGGCGAGCAGGGTCAAGGTGTCGCGGGCGGCGAAGCGGCTCCTCACGTCCAAGGTGCAGCTGCGCAGCCTGACGACGGCTCGGTGCCTGCTGGCACGGAGGCGGCTTCTTCCACGGCTACAGCACCGACGGCTTCGGGTCCAACGGCGGCGTCGTCTACTCCTTCCAGGCCGAGTTATATGGCGAGGGCTGATAGGATCGCTGGCAAGGCTTCTGAAGCGTTACCCCCTGGAGGAACCTCGATATCCTGGGCACCTGGACCTCGGCGTCTCATCTGGGGCTGTGGGGTCCTCCTGGATGTGCCCTGGCTCTTTCATGGGTTTCCTCCAGGGGGGTATGTAGTGAGTGAGGAGGCATGTCGAACGGCCCAGTCGTTTCGGCATGAGTCGAACGACCCAGTCGTGTCGACGAGAGATTCTTTTGTGTTCCGAAGGCCGTGTCGCTCTTCGGCACAGGTCGCTCTCTGTCGCAAGCGAGGCCTGCCACTTCTCCTCGCTTCCTCCTCGGACGTTCAGGCTTCGAGGTTGAATTCCACGCAGCAGGTGCGTCCAGGCGTGCGCTGGAGATTCCTGCTCTCTCGTGCTGACGCAGCTTTGTCTCGACAGCAGTTCAGTTCGAGTGAGTGTTCTTTTTTCGAGCGCCAGGCTCCGATCTCGTTTTCTCGGCCTAGGGATGCGTACCCTGTCATGTCTCTGGCCAAAGCGTCTCCTGGCTGCACCACGATGGTTAAGCTTCCTCTTGCAGCCCTATCGGTGCCGACGGGAGCGACGGACTGCTTAGCGCAGCAGCCGTCCTCGCCCCCATTGTTTGCCCGAGTTGATCGCCAACTTGCCTCGGAACGCGAGGGCGATGGAGGCTCGAGCCCCGCCCCTCCCGCGCTGGAAGCGCGGACGCATGCTTCGAGTCTTCCTGTCCAGGTTGAAGCGGTGCCGCTCAGGATTCAGACTATCAGATGTAACTCGTGGGGACGCATGAAGAGTATCATTGAGGGTGCTGATGCGCACATTCTGCTCTGTCAGGAGCATCGTTTGATTCGGGCGGGAGATATCGATCAGGCTAGCGCTTGGAGCCTCCGCCGCGGCTGGAAGAGCGCGTGGTCGCCCGCCGCGCCCACGGAGGCTAACGCTTCGCCTGGTGGTGTCGCCATTTTCGTGCGCTCCTGGATGGGCTGCCCGGAAGTTCCCGGTGGCCATGTGCGTCGCGGGCGCGCTGTGGTTTGCTCGTTCGAGCTCCCTGGGGCCCCTCCCATGCTGATGGCTTCGACCTACCTTCACAATTCGGAGGGCCTGTCGGACCGCAACATGGAGATTCTCTCCAGCCTGGGGCTCTGCCTGTCCACGGCTGGCAAGCTCAGCAAGGCCATCGACAGGATCGAGGCGCGTTTGGACACGGAGCTCTCGCCCCATAGGCCCGTGGATCTGGTTTTCCACGGCAAGCTGGCTGTTCTTAAGGCTCTGTCCTTCAGGAGGCCTCCCCCGATGCCGTGTGAAGCTGTGTTCGGTCCCGCTCCGAGGCCCCAGAATTGGGCGGGCGTTCAGTCTCTGGCTGACTCGGCCCTGAGCCTGATCGACAGTGGTAGGTCTGATATCGCCTGTTCTCTCCTTGGGAAGTTGTACCAAAGATGGGCTGACACGGCTGAAAGGGAGCTTGTGCCGCTGGTTGGGTCCTCGCCAGTGAAACTGGGCTCTCGTGGATTGGGTCCTCAGCTAGTGTGGCGGCCTGTGCTTTCCAAGGGTTCTAAGGTGAGATGCCCTGCCCACCGATCGATGGCCTGGCCCAGGTAACACCTCGAGGCGTACATTCACTCGCTGCGCGCCAGTTTTGCATCGTCGGCCAGCCGTTTGAAGGCCTTGCTGCTCCAGCCACCGCTCAGTATTGGGGAAGCTAAGGACGACCATGCGCCCTTGTTCGAGCTGGTGGCATCTGCGGTGTTGGCTTCCTATGGTCCTGACTCTTTTGTTGATGTGCACGCGCGTGTGCATGAGGCCGTCAAGGCCGCTGAGTCCAAGTTTCTTGCCAAGGCTCGTGCCGATTGGAAAGCGCGGCTGAATGTAGGAGTCAACTCAGGAGCGAAGCGAGTCCATATAATGTTGCGAGACCCTTCCCCGCGGGGGGCCAGCAGCACTCAGTCGGCTGAATGCTGCGTGGTTTCGGGCCCCCTTTCCTTGCGCAAGTCTGAGGGGCTCAGGTTCTCGTCCATTTGGGGGTCTGGTGCTGGGGCTTCCTCGTCGCTTGAGAGGCTGGATCCGCTTCCTCCCATTGACGTGCAGACGCTTCGGGACATCTCGCGCTCCTATAAGTTGGCGTCGGCGGTTTCGGTTGACGGCTTTCATTGCAGGCACTTCTCCTTGCTGGCGGGCGAAGGCCTCGCGTGTCTCAGCAGTATCTTGGGAGTGGTCGAAGCTACTGGCGTTCTTCCCCCCCAGATCTCGGCGGTGCTCCTGGCTTTGCCCCCCGAGCCCGCGGGGGGGGGGGGGCAGACCCATGGGGTCTATTGCTCCTGGTTCAGGGTCTGGGGGCGCTGCAGGCGCCCCTGGGCCCTGAACTGGGGACTCGACCATCCTCGAGAATACTGGGCTGTGGGCCAATTCAGGGGGGCCCCCGATGTGGCGTGGCGACAGTCGGTCACGGCCGAGAAGCGGAATGTCCAGAGGAGAATCCGGCTGCTCTATCTTTTTTGATATTGCCAAGTTCCATGAGAACATGAACCTTGATATTTTAGAGCGCAGGTGTATGCAGCATCGCTTTCCGATGGTCATTGCTCGTGTGTGTTTGTACGCTTACAGGGCCGGTAGATTCTTCGGCCTCGGTGGTTGGTTGGAAGGCCCACACTCCTGCGATAATGGAGTGAAAGCGGGCTGTTCGATGGCTACGGCGTTGATCCGCGTGTATTGTCTTGAGGGATATGACAGCATTCCCCTGCCCCCCATCAACGTCGTTGGACGTCTATATTGATGACCAAGGCCTTTCCTCGACGGGTCGTCCCGGGGCTGTTGTGAACTCGATGGTGTCGGGGGCCTTGGCCCTCGATAAGGTTGTCCATCAGGTGTTCGGATGCTCGTTTGCCTTCGATAAGACCGCGATCGTGGCGAGCTCTAAGTCGGTTGGCACCCAGGTCCTCCATAGATTGAGTAAATAGTGCAGCCAATGCTCTGGGACGGCTGCTAATCTCGGGGTTGATTTCGCGGATGTCCGCGCTGTGCGCGTTTCGGGCCGTTCGGCCAAAATGAAGGCGAGGATCGCCAAGTCAGGCAGAGCGGCGCGTCGGCTGGCGCGGCAGGAGAAGGCCATCAGCAGGCGCACCGCCCTGAAGGTCTTCTCGGCGGGCCCCCTAGTTGGGGCCTCGTATGG